TTTTTCAGGGGTTGGGCTTGGCCCCTTAGTTCCAGTGAAGGGAACTCTTAAGACGTCAGCATACCAAAACATTTTGGACAATTTAATGCTCCCAACTTTGTGGGAACAGTTTGGAGATGGCCCCTTCCTGTTCCAACAAGACTGCACACCAGTGCACAAAACAAGGTCCATAAAGGTATGGATGAGCAGGTTTGGGGTGGAGGAGCTTGACTGGCCTGCACTGAGTACTGACCTCAACCCGACAGAACACCTTTGGGATGAATTAGAGTGGAGACTGTGAGCCAGGCCTCCTCCCCCGGCATCAGTGCCTGACCTCACAAATGTGCTTCTGGAAGAATGGTCAAACCTTCCCATAGACACCCTCCTAAACCTTGTGGACAGCCTTCCCAGAAGAGTTGAACCTGTTATAGCTGCAAAGGGTGGGCCAACTCAATATTGAACCCTACGGACCTTACTGGGATGGCATTAAAGTTCATGTGCGTGTAACGGCAGGTTGACCAATACTTATGGTAATATAATGTATATGTTTGTTCCTAGGAACTAGTGTTAGACTCTCATATTTCTTTATCTGACAGGTCCACTTTAATTCTATCATTTAGTATTCATTAAGCATATGGGCAGTGTTTATCAGTACAACCCGTAGACTATGCACTTCAAAAACATATATAGCTTATAGAAGTCACATATACTTAAATATCATACTACAGTTTTAACAACTTGCCCTACGGAAGGTTTACCGCCCTTCATGACCAGGCCATTTTTTACTATAAAACACCACGGAACTTTAAATGCCAATTGCACGGTCATGCAACACTGTACACAAATGTAATTTATATCTTTTTTTTTTCCCCACCAATAGAGCTTTCTTTTGGTGGTATTTGATTACCACTTGTTTTTTTTTTATTTTTTGCACTATTTAAAAAAAACCCACAATATTTCTTTTGTTATAAAACATATCCCATACGAAAAAAAGTTAGGCCAAAATATATTCCGCTTCATATCTTTGGTAAAAATAAAAAATCCCAATAAGTGCATATTAGTTGGCTTGCGTGAAATGATGGCATAGATACTGGATTTTTTATTTTAATATACTAGCAATGGCAGCGATCAGCGAACATATAGCGGAACTGTAATATTACGGCGGGCATTCTGACACTGACATGACCAGTGACACTAATACAGTAATCAGTGCTAATAAAATGCACTGACATTGTACTAATGACACTGGGCAGGAAGGGGTTAACATCTTTGACAATCTAAGGGTTAACTGTGTGCCTAACTATGTGTAATGTGTTGACTGTGTGCTGTTCTACAAGGGGATGTGACATCTCCCTGCAAAGCAGGGAATCAAAAACTGCCACATCCCCGTTGGCAGCAGAGAGATCTGTGTTGTTTACTAACAAAGATCTATCTCCAGTTGCTAGCTCCGATGATCAGCAAGTCCTGTATGTGAATCACTGGCCAGGACCCGCTGATTGGCATGTCAGGGAGCCAATGCCAGCATAGACTGGTGTGCTCGTGCCCCCCTACTCAGAAAAGCAAAACCAGGTATATATACGTGATTTTGCACAGCTGTCCCACACTGTAGCAGTAAAGCTACAGTATGCAGTCAGCAAGTAGATAAAACAAGGAGATTAGGGCAGTAATGCTTACTGCCCTCTGGAAAGTGTTCTGCAATGAATCACATTTCAGAGAGTGGTGGCTTTCAGGGGGTGCAACTGCTGTCTCAACACCTTTTTTTTTTCCTCTAAATTACTGCACAGCAATCTTGCATTGCAGGACCACATCATAATTGGGAGCATTTGGCTCAGAGTTTGCCGTGCAGCCCCATTTATCTCAATGGATGAGTTTGTCAAGCGGTGCCACCTCTCAATTCTGCAGTTAAAATTGCTGTGGCAACAAAGCAAAGCATTGCAGAATGTGGGTGCAATACTGGAGGGCTGTTGTGGGCGGCAATACTGCAGATCAGATGCCTGTTTTGATCAACCCCCAGCCTCCAGTGTGAAAGAGCCCTTAGTTTTTTGGATGCTTTTTTACCTCCTCTCCTTAGCAACTCTCAAACATCTGACAGCCTTACAAGCTTTGTCTGTTCCCACCTCATCCACTGTATTATGCGATTGACTGAGCAGCTCATGCAGGAACACAGCAGGGAAATCTCCACTTCATCATAGGAGGTCTGTTTATTACTCCCTTGTTCAGACATACTAGAACTTGTCAAAAGAGCTAAAACTGAAACCTCTGCAAATGTCTTTGCCAATAGCTACATAGAGGCTCGTTTCAAAGCTTAGTAAAGTTTTTTTAAAAGTGTATTTCCATCTCTGCAGTCAAATTTGAGACAAACCCCCAACCCACCACTAAGTGTTTACACAGCATACCTAAAAATATAGTTTTCTGAAAAATATTTCTCACCTTTCTAGGTTCATACATAGGGTTCTATGGCCAGCTTCTATGACTTGGAACCAATGGCAATATGAAGAAAAGGGACAGGTTTTTTTTATGCATTAAGATACCATATATCATACAAGCCTTGAGATCTTTAACCCTTTGTTAGGACAGAGTCCGCACGGATCTAGTTTACAACTGATAGTGAGATCTGCCAGAAGAGTACAGAGTTAATTAGGGCAAACATAGCTCAACAGCCCTCTTCATACATTAAATATATAGGAAAAGCTGAAAATGTAGAAAAACACTTGAAGTCTTCATTCACACAGACGTAAAAATGTTACCGATGTTATTAGACATTTTCTAGCAGAAACGTTTCTGTGTAATGATCAGTAAAATACTTACGTATAAATGCGTTTAACCACTTGCCGACCCGCCTCACTTACATGTACATTGGCAAGGCGGCTCGGCTGTGCTGGATCACGTATCTGGTACGTGATTAACATAGGGGGCGGGCCCGCTGACCGAGCTGTACTGTGATTCGTTACAGCACAAGCCGATCGGGTTCTGGCCAATGTCTGACCGCCGGGACTCACTTATCTGCTCAGTGATTCACGGAACACAGCTCTGTGGTATTAAACAACAAAGAGCAGCGTTCAGTGACAGGTAATCTTGCTGCTTTTTCAGCAACAAGATCCATTAGTAAAAACAGCACATAGTAAATACATTAACACTTGTTAGGCACACAGTTAACCCCTTGATCGCCCCTAGATGTTAACCCCTTCCCATCCATTGTCATTACTACAGTGACAATGTATATTATCACTGATCACTGTATTAGTGTCACTAGTGATGTCAGTGGCAGTTAGCCAGCTCCCAGAAAGTGTCAGTTAGTGTCAGCACTGCCGCACTATCAAAGTCTCGGTATAAGTCGCTGGTCACCGCCATTGCTATTTAAAAAACAAAAAATTCCAACATATATACTGTCAACTTTCACGCAAACCAAAAAATATACACTTATTGGGATTTTTTTTTTAACCAAAGACATGTCACAGAACACATTTTGGCTTAAATTTATGATTTTTTTTTCCCAATTGGATACATTTTATAGCAAAAAGTAAAAAAAATATTTTTTTTAAATTTTTTTTCTTTTATATAATAAACGATAAAAAAACCCCAGTGGTGATCAAATACCACCAAAAGAAAGCTCTATTTGTGGAAAAAAAATTATATAAATTTTATTATGGGTGTTGTCCATGAAGGAAACCTCTCCTAAAGCCCATGCATAAAAAAAGCCCACCTAGAATTTGCCAGGGTCCATGCTGAAAAAGAAGACTTCTGGGAATCTGTACTCTGGAGCGGTGAGACCAAGATAAATGTTTTTGGAGCTGATGGCCTTAAAACTGTATGGCGTCGCAAAGGTGAGGAGTACAAAGAAAAATGCATGGCGCCTACAGTGAAACATGGTGGTGGCAGTGTCCTTCTGTGGGCTGCATGAGTGCTGCTGGTGTCGGTGAGCTGCATTTCATTGATGGTATCATGAATTCACAGATGTACTGCTCTATATTAACAGAAAAGATGTTACAATCACTCCGTGCCCTTGGTCGTCATGCACTTTTCCAACATGACAATGATCCAAAACACACATCTAAGGCCAATGTTGTATTTCTGAAGAAGAACAGGATGAAAGTGATTCAGTGGCCAAGTACATCTCCTGATCTGAACCCAATCGAACACCTATGGGGAATTCTGAAGAGACAAGTTGATCATCACTCTCCATCCAGCATCCAGACTCTAAAAGAGGTCGTTCTTGAAGAATGGAAAAAGATCGATATTGCAATATGTCGCCAACTTGTTCATTCCATGCCTAGCAGACTTGGTGCTGTCCTTACAAATCATGGAGGTCATACAAAATACCAGATGTAGTAGTTTTTGTTGTGGGGTGTATTCATTTTTGCATCAACTAATTTGAGTAAAACTGAAGATTTTGTAATCCAAGTTATATTACTAACCTTTTACTTTCATGTAAGGAGCTAAACAAATGTTCTATAAAACTCAGTTTTGTCAAAATGTTGGAAATTGTTCTTGTGTTCATTGAGATATTGATTAAAATCTTACTTTTCAAAAGAGATGTCCTCATTTATGCTGAGCACTGTGTGTATGTAAATTGTGGGCACTATAGAAGTAAATATATGCATTCCCTCTCCTTCCCCATGTGACAGCTCTGGGGTCTGGCAGCTGGCTCCTCGGGCATTGTGAGAAGTGTCACATCTTCCCCCACATGCTGGGAAAGTACTTATGCTTAGCTTGCTGTCATGCAACCTGTCATTTAGCAGAGACTGAGCACAGGTTCACTTTACTCTTTGATCCATCTCCTATGTGTTGCCATTTATTAGCATATGCTGAAAAGGAAATAAAAACACATATGAAGTCCCCCGGTTACTCTTTAACTCATCACTGCAGTAGCTAGCTGCAACATGAACAGCTGGCAGACAGTCTGCTTCCATGGTGACAGATATTAATTTGTTGTCATGGTAACAGTGAAGTCTAACGAGTCCTACACCTGAAGATCGAATTCCTTCACTCTGCGCACAGTCACCAAAATATAAAAATTTAGGTCAGGACTTTTTGAGAAATTTGGCTATGAAGAAGCCAATGGTGTCAGAGTCCGCGAGGGAAACAAGGTCGTCATCCGACTTTAACTTGTTTGCATCAACGTCATGCATTTCAGTGGCCGACGGGTCAAACCGCTGTAGAAGTTTCAAGTGGTCCAGGGACAACCCAGCACCGGGCATGCCTTCTCCTCCTATGTGGGGCTCCTGTTGGTAAAATGTATTTATTTATTTATTTCAGGTACTTATAAAGTGCCAGCCATCAATTTACGCAGCGCTTTACATATATATTGTACATTCACATCAGTCCCTAACCCTCAAGGGGAGTACAATCTAAGGTCCCTAACTCACATTCATACATACACATACTAGGGCCAATTTAGACAGGATCCAATCAACCTACCATCATGTCTTTGGCGTGTGGGAGGAAACCGGAGTACCCGGAGGAAACCCACGCAGGCACAGGGAGAACATGCAAATTCCAGGCAGGTGGCACCGTGGTTGGGATTCGAACCAACTACTCTAGTACTGCCAGGCGGAAGTGCTAAACATTTAGCCGCTGTGCTGTCCAATAAATAAATAAGTAAAAGGTCTGATATACACGAGAAATGGATTGATTGAATCTCTGTCCCGGCTGTTTCTTTCTATTAAAACATTTCCTCCGTATGCTCATCATTGTCTCACTTATATATTTAGGATCCGGTTACACCATCATTACACACGTGGTACAACACAGTGCCATTCTAAATGGCATCCCAATGTACCTTGCCAGATGTGCATTCCAAAAAATAGAACATGTGCCTTTTGTGGTGCCTCAGCCAAACTATTCAAATAAATGGGCTGCACTAAAGTATAACTAAAGGCAAAAATCTTTTCTTAGTTTTGGATACAGTGAAGGTGGATTAGAAAACCTGTCAGTGCCCCTATTGGGGAGATCCCCCCCCCATTTGTCCTGTTTACCATTATCACTGAAAGTGAAAGTAAAAGTAAATCCCAAATTTTGGGTTGTCCCCAGAGAAATAAATAGAGGGGAAATCTTCCAATGGGGACACACGTTCTAGTAACCTGGGGGTCCTCAAGGAATTCCCATAATTTGCAGGGTTTTCTTCTCACTTAAGGCTGGTTCACATTATAGAAATGCAGTCCAGATGTGTTTCGGATGAGTTTCTGCATGTGCGTTTTTGATGCATTTTTTTATGCATTTCAGGTGCGTTTTTTATAGGTTTCAGTTCATTTTTTTCCCTCTCTATTTCTTCAATTTAAATAGGGACGTGCATTCCAGTGCATTTTTGGTGTGTTCCAGTGCATTTTTGGTGTGTTTTACCGCATTCCAGTACAGTTCTGTGCAGAAAAAAACGCAACATGTTCTACTTTTTTTTCTGCAACCGGAACGCACTGGAACTGCAAGCACTGACGTGAACTATGACAGTGACAACCATATAACCTACTTTCTGTGTGTTTTGGTTGAGAAAAAAATCACACTGGCCCTTACTGTTTTGGCTATGGGACAGGAAGTAAAGGTAAATTACGCCAACGGAAAACAGATGGCAAAAAATCTGACAAGGGGTATAACCCTCCTTCACTCTATCCAAAATTAAAAAAAAAAAAGTTTTGCCTATAGTTGTACTTTAATGCAGTGCAGAGTAAAGTGCCGCATAATACTCATGCATTAGCACAGGACAACAGTGTGAACAGCCCCTCAATGACCGATCCCCTACCCCTCTGAAGGATTCTTCACTTTGCTGTGCCCTCCTCACCCTACCCACTTTTTTTGGGCACCCTACAGGTTGCCGTTGGTGAACTGTCCACAATTCCTCAACACATGGAGATTTCTCTTGTTTGTCCCCATGAAAGACTGAATGAGAGAAATCAATTGACTCCCCCAGTCATGCCTGAACACTGTGGATGGAAGAATCTGCAATGCCGGCTATTATATTCAGACGGATCCAGCACTGTCTGAATAATGAAACTGCATCAAATTTTCACGTAGTTCGGTTGATTTTAAAATCAACTGTCACACAGCCAGGTGGTACCAAAAGGTCCACCATAGCTTGTAGTACTTTGTGTCCCGGCAAATCCTCTTCATTGGGGTGGGGCATTTGGGTAAAGTGGGAGGATTATATGCTGGCAAGGGTAATTTGGAGGGGTTTTACATAGAGAAGGGATTTGGGGGAATTGGCCCTAGGTGGGGGGATGGAAGGTAGAGGATAGGTGCTGGGAGGGTGGGTTGGGGGTATTTGTGCTAGGAGAGGAAATTAGTGGGATTTGTATTAGAAGAGGGGATTAAAGGGGGGGGGATTTCTGCTAGGAGAGGGGATTGTGCTAGGAGGGAGGAATGATGGGGGGGTTGTGCTAGGAGGGGGAAATGGTGCTAAGAGAGGGGATTGTGCTAGGAGGGAGGAATGATGGGGGGTGGGGTGTTGTGCTAGGAGGGGGAATTTGTGCTAGGAGAGAGGGACTGGGGATGATTGGGAGAGGTTGGGCTAGGGGGGAGGGGGAATTTATGCTAGGGTGGGGAGGAAGGATTTGTACTGAGAAAGGTAACATGGAGGGGGTTGGGTGGGGAGGAAGGATTTGTACTGAGAAAGGTAACATGGAGGGGGTTGTGCTAGGAGTCAGGATTGGGGGATTTGTGCTAGAAAGGGAGATTTGGCAGGGAAGGGGGGGGGGTGGGAGGATTTGTGCTAGGGTGAAAAATCTGAGGGGAATGAGGATGTGTGTAAGGAGGGGTGAAGCAAAACTACAGGTGAAGTTTTATTTATATATTTTTTGGGGGGAGGGGGGGGAATGAAACAAATCCTTCTACTTAAGATGTACCTGTTTAACTGCAGTCTTCTCTTCTCTACAGCCATTCAAAGACCAGTATTCATAAAGCTTGTCTGAGCTATCAGAAAAAAAGGGATGGAGAGCTGAAGTTACAGCTCAGTAAGGAGCTCCGAGAGCTGATTAGAGAGAAGAGACACACCGCCCCCTCCCCCGCCCCTTCCACACTGACCTGAGGCTGTCAATCACAGGCTGTACCCTCCCCTGTCACCTCTTATTTTTTAGTGTCAGGAAAACTTGTCAGAAGTGACTCAGATGCAGATAGCAGAGGAACAAGGCAGCATACAGAAATATTACTTAGTGCTCTAGATTGAGCCAAGTACACACTAGAAGGATATGCTTTGTTCATATTTAATTTCTGAGGTTTACAACCACTTTAATGTGAGTTGTACTGTGTGTTTGTAAAATGTGACATAGCAACAAAGAGGTAAAGGTACAGAATTCAGGGCTGTTGGGGTCTGCAGTAATGGGCTTTTGTTGCCATCAGAATTGCTTCTCTCCCCATATAAGTCAATAGGAATGATGAAGCAGCTTGAAATAGGTTGCTACAGTTTAGAATTAGATCAAATGCAGGAATGTACCTGTCACTGAACTGTGAATGATCTCAGAAATATCTCCAATGGACCTGTAATTCAAGCTGAAAGCAAATGAAAACAAGTTGTATTGCCCACGGACACAAGCTGCCAGTGAGTCGATGACTTCTTGGGGCTTATCAGACCTCACTGCCTGCATGCTTGTTCTATGTCAGTAAATCCTTAGACAGCGATCAGGTTTACAACCTTGGAGCCTGAATATTTTAAAACAAATTGGACAAGACAGCTCCCCTACTTGTACCCCTATAGATAGCTGTCATTCTCTGGTATGGGTGGAAAAAAACGCAGAACACACAATGCTGCATTTCCATTACCTGCACTTGAAGCTGGAGGCAGGAGAAGGTTTTCAGAGCCCAGGCGACCTGTTCTTCATTTTCAGCTAAAGTTATGGTACATGTGCTGTACACCAATGTGCCTCCAGGCCTCAACAACTCAACAGCCTAATGGGGAAAAAAATTACAATCCTGAGAATACGGCATTCAAGGGAAGAGAAGGAGGTGAACATTGATGGCTGTATGACTACTGGGCAGAAAGTCTGTTTTGTATCAGAAAATATCAATCCTTACTATGCTGCTTTCAATTGAAGTCGAGGAAGAAACACGTCCTTCAACCTGGAAGACTTAGGACATACTGTGAGTGCAGAACATCATGGACCCGCTCCCCCAAGAGGGCATTACCACCCCGCAGTCACAGCCAGCACTGTTCCCTGTCCAACACCAGAGACCGAAGTGGAAAACATCTTGGGGGCTCAAGGGAGTAAAGGACTCCCGTTGGGAAGGTTTTAACCCATTAACCCTTGTTTGAACTCTAACCTAATTCCCCAAATTTTCCCCCTCACTCTAATCAACCCAAAATTTTGGGCTGTCCCCAGAAAAGGAATTGTGGAAATATCTTAAAGTGGGGTCACTAGTTCTGTGAGCCTGGTGACAACCAGGAATTCCATCACTTTAGAGAGATTTTCTCTCACTTCCTGTATTGGCTATGAGACAGGAAATGAAGGGAAATCTCCCCAATTGGACTCAGACGGCAAAAATAAACTTTACAGAGATAATAACCCTGCCTTACTCTATCCAAAATGGCAAAAGGTTTGCTTCTAGTTCTACTGCAAGGTAAACGCTGTGCAGTTCTTACTGACCCTGTTGGTGTCAAGGCCAAGGCTGAGATCTCACACAGATATTGTCACGACAAATGGATTATTTGTTTACCCACTTGTCAACCGCGCTATAGCCAAAAGACGGCTACAATGTGCTTGTCTAGTTCTGGGAGGGAGTCCATGGTTGTCCTCCCAGAACCCCACCCTCTGCGCGCACATCAGGTGCACTATTCGACACAGCTGATCACAGATTGGGGTAAAGGACCAATCACAGCTGACCACATGTAAACAGACTTTCTGGTTATCGACAGTCCTTTCCTCGAATGCCGCGTCTGTGTGAAAGGAAAGCCAATAACCAGCAAGGCTGTCTGTACATGGTTTACACTGATAAACAGGGCACTGACCATCAGTGCAGCCCCAACAATGCCCATCAGTGCAGCATATCAGTGCAGCCTATCAATGTCCATCAGTGTAGCCTCACCAGTGGCCATCAGTACTGCCTCATCAGTGCAGCCTATCAATGTCCATCAGTACTGCCTATCAATGCCCATCAGTACTGCCTTATCAGTGCAGCCTATCAATGTCCATCACTGTAGCCTCACCAGTGGCCATCAGTGTTGCTTAATCAGTGCAGCCTATCAATGCCCATCAGTGTAGCCTCATCAGTGCCCATCAGTACTGCCTCATCAGTGCAGCCTATCAATGTCCATCAGTGTAGCCTCACCAGTGGCCATCAGTGCTTCCTCATCAGTGCAGCTATCAATGCCCATCAGTGTAGCCTCATCAGTGCCCATCAGTACTGCCTCATCAGTGCAGCCTATCAATGCCCATTAGTGTAGCCTCATCAGTGCCCATCAGTACTGCCTCATCAGTGCAGCCTATCAATGTCCATCAGTGTAGCCTCACCAGTGGCCATCAGTACTGCCTCATCAGTGCAGCCTATCAATGTCCATCAGTGTAGCCTCACCAGTGGCCATCAGTACTGCCTCATCAGTGCAGCCTATCAATGTCCATCAGTGTAGCCTCACCAGTGGCCATCAGTGCTTCCTCATCAGTGCAGCCTATCAATGCCCATCAGTGTAGCCTCATCAGTGCCCATCAGTACTGCCTCATCAGTGCAGCCTATCAATGCCCATTAGTGTAGCCTCATCAGTGCCCATCAGTACTGCCTCATCAGTGCAGCCTATCAATGTCCATCAGTGTAGCCTCACCAGTGGCCATCAGTACTGCCTCATCAGTGCAGCCTATCAATGTCCATCAGTGTAGCCTCATCAGTGCAGCCTATCAGTTACCATCAGTGAAGAAGAAAAAAATTACTTTTTTGCTAAATTTTATAACAGAAACTAAGACATTTTTTTTTTTTTATAATTTTCTGATTTTTTTAATTTCTTTAGCAAAAAATAAAAAACCCAATGGTGAATAAATACCAGCAATATAAAGCTCTGTCTAAAAAAAAAAAAAAGTCATATGGGTACATTGCTGCATGACCGTGCAATTGTCATTCAAAATGAGACAGCACTGAAAGCTGAAAATGTGCCTTGACAGGAAGTTGGGTGGAAGTGACCAGTATTGAAATGGTTAAAGTAAATTTGTGTAACATTTTTTTTTTAATGGTTTTAAATCCTCTGCTTTACTGCCCCTTCCAATTTCAGCCTGAATAACCAGTCATAATAAATAAAAAAAGTGCAATGCCTACCAGCAACATGCAGCCTGGAAGTGTAACTAAGAGAACTCTGGAGCCCAAAGGACATTCCCTTCAATTCCACTAATAATATGGTAATCCCTGCTACAGGGGCACTTACCGTGCTGAAAAGTCTGCGCTGCAGGGCTTGGTAAGAAATCAGTTCTTTTAGGGATAGCAGACAAGCCATATTAGGCCTCTGGCCCATTCCGCTACAAGGAGCATCCAAGAGAATGCGGTCAAATGACTCTGGACAGAACGGAGGTCCGGGACCTGTAAAATAAATGTTTAGCTTTAGCAAAAAAAAAAAAAAAAAAAAAACGCAAACTACTATATACACTTTAATAGAAGGATTTTACCATAGTTCAAGTCAAAGTTAAACCTGCTTTTTTTCATTTGCTAAAGCCCTGCCCTCTTCAGCATGGTGCTACAGTGAGCGCTGGGAGGAGCGCTGGAGGAGCAGAGCAGAGAGCGGTTTGTAACAGTCACTGCTCTCCACTCTAAACAGACAGAGAACTGAGCGATCAGTGGTCATGTTTGCTCAGGTCCCAGTCTTAAGAGCACACGTGGGACAGCTGCAGCATTACACCAATGCAGCAGAACAGAGGTAAGTATGTACATTTTTGTTTTTATTCCCCAAACTTCTCCTTTAAGACATAGGATACCCATACCAGCTTTCTGACAATGTGTTCATCCAATAAAATAATCAAAAATTCCTGTTATTGCCTGGCCATTCTTAAATGACAGAAGCTGTCGCAACTTGGTCGATGCAAAAAAGCTGAGACATAATCTTCAGTGGTATCTAGTATTTTCCACATAATGAATGATCTTTAAAGCTAAGTTTGGAAGTACCACAAAGCTTGCCACCACTCTAAAAAGCGATCCACAATGGTGTCTGAGAGGCAGTGAAGAGGCCGTATATCACCTCCTAACCTTATGTTTTGACCCTGTAAATACCATATCAACATAGGTTTCATACACAGGTTGTACTGTCCACTAAATGCGACAGTGGATATAATTTTTGCTTCAACTGCAAAGCATCATGCCATGGCACATCTTCAACCCAATCTGGCTGTCTTTGCAACTTAAGGGAGGCAGTAACAACTCTCAACTGCCTGTTTTTACCTTCCTCTGACCTCAAGAGTAAACAAGCCCTAAGGGCACTCACAAAAAGCCCAACCCTGTCTCCCATTTGGTGGCACAATAATTGCGGCTCTGTTCAATTATGGTCAATCCTACACTCTTTGTGAAAAAAAAAACCAATTAAAATAAATGGCCAAGAGTGGACTACAGCTGTCCCAAACAAACACTTTTCAGCAGGTTCAAGAAGTTTCAGAACATGTACAACTATTATAATATGGCCAAAAGCATGTCAACACCTCACCATCACACTGTATAGCCAAACCTATGTGCACATCCTCCACATTATTGAGTTCAGCTGTTTCCAATGAAGGGTATTGTCAATGTTCCAGCATACAAAGACATTTTACATAATGCTGTACTTATGGTAACAGTTTGGGGAAGAACCATTTCTGTTCCACCATGCCTGTGCACAAAGGTGGCTCCATAAACACATGGTATGACCAGTTTGTTGTGGAAGAACTCCCAGACAGTGCCCTGAACTCAGCTCTGTTAGACGCCCCAACAATCAGGATGAATTCAAATAAGGATTGCAGGGCAGGTCGTCTCATCCAACATCAATACGTGATCTCACACTTTTTTTTTTTTTGCTGAATTATTATTATTATACAGTATTTATAAAGCGCCAATAGTTCGCTCAGCGCTGTACATTACAAAGGGGACAGAACATGTGACAGAACAATACCAATACAATGCAAAACATGAGGGGATTGAGGGCCCTGCTCTTTCGAGCTTACAATCTAGGAGGGAGGGGATGGTGGCACAGGAGGAGAAAGCTGTGGGGGATGGAGTGGTAGGAAGAGTGGAGGAGGTCGGCAAGTTAGCAGGGGGTGGGGGTAGGCTTCCCTGAAGAGGTGGGTTTTCAGGGTGCGCCTAAAGGAGAGGAGAGTAGGTGATAATCTGATGGGTTGGGGCAGGGAGTTCCAGAGGATGGGTGACACCCTGGAGAAGTCCTGGAGGCGGGCGTGGGAGGAGACCAGGGAACTAGAGAGAAGGAGGTCTTGTGAGGAGCGGAGTGTGTGTGTTGGGCGGTACTTGGATATTAGGTCATCGATGTAGTACGGGGCAGTATGGTGGACAGCTTTGTACATCAGCGTTAGGAATGGGCAAACATTTCTACAGACACACTCCAAAATCTTGGATAAAGTCTTCCAGAAGAGTGGCGGCCATTATAGCTTCAAAGGGAGCAGAGGTCGTAGCTCCATATTAATGCCCATGGATTTGTAAAGGAAAGTCCAACAAGTTCATATAGGTGCGATGGTCAGGTATCTACAAACTTCCATCTATATAGAATAGATGTGACCCCATCCCTTTCTGTATGGTCAATTCTCACGGACGTCTTACCTTGTTCCATCCCCTTGGGCTCACATAGCACGGCCTTGGTGCTGTTGAAGCAGTAGGCCTGGATACATTTGAGTTGCAGCAGGGAAGCATTATGCTTTATTTTCTCCACTTTGCTGGCAGTTTTGTCCATAGCTATGACTTCTCCCTGGGAATGTAAAGACATCCATTTTTAGGGATGCACCGAAATTTCAGCAGCCGAAACATACCGGCCAAAAATAGCCCTATCGGTTAATTAAGCCTGTGTGTACTGCAGATGTGGGGGGAGGGGGGCGGCTGAGAAAGGCAGGAGACGAGCAGTGTATACAGTGACTGGCTGTCACTATAGGTCAGTGCCGGTTTTTGAATGTAATTTCCAGCTTTTTTTTTTTTTCTTCACTATAGCTCAGAGAATTAGCTGTCAATTTCCCCAGCTAAAAGAAACAAAGCTTCCTTTTAGTTTATTGCCCGAGATAAAAGAAACAAAAGTTTCCTTTAGCTCCAGGGAAATTGACCTAATTCTGTGAGCTATAGTGAAGAAAAAAAAAAGCAGGCAATTTCATTAAAAATTGGCACCAACATATAGTGACAGCCAGTGAGGGAGCCTCTCTGTATACACTGCCTCCTCTCTGTATACACCACCTCCTCTCTGTATACACCACCTCCTCTCTGTATACACTGCCTCCTCTCTGTATACACCACCTCCTCTCTGTATACACCGCCTCCTCTCTGTATACACCGCCTCCTCTCTGTATACACCGCCTCCTCTCTGTATACACTGCCTCCACTCTGTATACACCGCCTCCTCTCTGTATACACACCGCCTCCTCTCTGTATACACCGCCTCCTCTCTGTATACACTGCTCCTCTCCTGGCCCTTCCTTGCACACACTGCCCCCCCACCCCCTCTCTCCTACGAAGAAGACCTGTCACTCATATGCTATCACATAGTGGACTATTGGTCCCCTATGTGATAGCAATAAAATCATAAGTTAACAAAAATCATAAATATATACATGAAAGTAGAAAAAAAATTGGAGCCTCTCCACCCCCACATACGCAGACATTTTCTTTTCGGTTCGGTTTTCGGCCACATGCATTCTGAATTTTTGGGATTGGTTTCGGCATCATAATTTTCATTTCGGTGCATCACTATTTATTTTAATATTTAAAGTAGAAATACAGACAAGTGAGATAGACAGCCGAAGAACATATATGCTGCCTTTCAGCTTCCTGCCTAATAATTTGAAGTTCAGGCAGCCCATTCTGACTGTACAATCAGGTTCTTGAACTGTGTAATTCACTGCGGCCAGAATCCAGAGAGCATCTGCATTGCTAAGGTGCTTCCTGAAGCTTTCAATGTCCTCTCCTCCTTTGTCATTTTTATAGAAACTGCACAGCATGTTCTAAGAGAGTCAGTTTACAAAGGAGCATGAAGATGGGCTGTGATACAAAACAAGTCCCTGCTACCAAACTGACAGCCAGAATGTGGCCTGGGAGCTATGGGAAAGGAAGAGGAGCAGGGCGTGCTACACACTTCCACAGTATTTAGATGAGGTGTTTAGGGCATGTGTGGTATGGCCAAAGTCAATAACTGGTTCAATTCATCTAGAACACCAAATGCCACACTGCAAACACTAAGCACTGTACCTTTAATTTATTGCAGTGGTGATACAACAGAAGCAAACTGAATGATACTCTGCAAGAAGGTTTTGACACCTTCAGCCCTGTCAACGGCCTGACTCCATACTGATAGTACACAATGGGGGAGATTTACTAAAACTGGAGTGTGCAAAATCTGGTGTAGCTCTGCAGAGAAACCAATTGGCTTCCAGGTATTATTGTCAAAGCTTAACTGCCGCCCTATAGTAGAACTACTGCTACAGGGCGTCAGGGCTGCGCAAAATCACGTATATATACACACACGATATACATTTACAGGTAGGGGGCATGCGCTCGCCACCCTACCTACGCTGCCATTGGCGGCTAAGGATGTCAATCACCGGGTACCGACTGGAGATTCCCCGCCATCACTCGGCGATGTGTAGAACGGACGGGGAAGAGACATGTGTGTAAACAACACAGGTCTCTCTCCTGCCAGCAAGGACATGCTGCTTTGTATTTGTCTACACAGCTGAGAAATACAAAGCAGCATGTCTCTATAGGAAAACAGCGCACACAGCAAAACACACACAGTTAACCCTTTTATCGCAAAAACATAAAACCCCTTCCTGCCCATTGTAATTTCTACAATGTCATTGCTTTTTATTAGCACTGATTACTGTATTAGTGTCACTGGGGATGTCAGTGGCAGTTAATAAGTTCCCACCCAGTGTCAGAATGCCTGCAGCAGTCCCGCTATAAGTCGCTGATCGCCGTCAGTACTAGTTTAAAAACCAAAATCCCAGTATCTATACCGCTATTTGTAGACACTATAACTTTCACGTAAACCAATTAATTTACATGTATTGGGATTTTTTTTTTAGCAAAGCATGTAGCTGAATACATTTTGACCTAAATTTATGATGAAATTTGATTTTTAAAATTTTTTTATTGGACATGTTTAATAGCAAAAAGTCAAAAATATTGTTTTTTTTACAAAATTGTCAGTCTTTTTTTGTTTATAGCGCAAACAATAAAAAATGCAGAAGTGATCAAATACCACCAAAAGAAAGTTCTATTAGTGGGAAAAAGGGACATAAATTTAATTTATGTACAACGTTGCATGACCGCACAATTGTCAGTTAAAGTAATGCAGTGCCATATCGCACAAATGGCCTGGTAAGAAAGGGGGGGGGGGGGGTAAATCCTCTGGAGGGCAAGTAATTAAAGTGTTACTAAACCCAGGACCCTGCATTCATTATATCTGGTTCCCACAGTACACAGAACATGGAAATGCAATTATTTTACTAAATATAAACTGTTAAATATCTTTTCTCCTCAGTAGAGAAGTCTTGTGACTTCTATAAGTGTCCAGCAAAGCACTGGTTAAAGCTTGTAGGAGTTTTCTTTCTGCTGTAGGAGGATGCAGGTCTGGATAGCGCTGATTGGTCCTGTGCTGATCACATGCACTCTTCCAAGAAAGAAAGAAAAAGAAAAACGCTCTCTAGCAATATACACCAAACTGAGCATGTGAAGCTTAACCCAAAGGCTGTGTTCTATCAGCAGATGGATTAGGGACAGCAGAAGAAGGGGAGGATCAGAGAGGTCAGGATCAAACATCCTTTTTACACAATGCAGGTTCCACAGTGAGTACAACAAGCATGCTTTACTGCATATACAGACTGATTTTACTGTTGTGGGTTTAGTAACACTTTAATGTATATCTAAATCCAAAACCTTTCATCTGTTAGGATGGAGTAGGGAAGAGTTCAAACCCCAGTTATTTTTTTTGCCATCAGTGTCTCATCGAGATTGCCCTTCACCTCCTGTCCTGCATATAGTATAGGTAGCAAGAGAAAATTTCTCCAAAAAGGGAGGTAAATCCCCTTGCCGAGCCCTAAACCTTTAACAAGCCTTGGCAAATTATATTGATTTTTAAATTGAATAAGCCTAGGTTCCCACTATTGCAGGAACAGTTGCAGGAACAGTTGCGATTCCCGCACCCGCAACCACCCGCTGCCAAAACACGCTACTCTGTAGAGACAGACGGGGCTACCATTTATTCCTAATGGCACCCCCATTAGGGGGGTGCAGCAGGACAGGGTACAGGGGCTCAGGAGGAAACACAGCATGAGGGGGAAGCAAGGCACATTACATCGGAGAGAGCACAGAGTAACGTTACATGGGACAGGGCAGGTTACATGGTAAAGAGTACAGAGCACATTACATGGGGCAGGGCGTGTTACATTGGACAGGGCAAGTTACATGGGAAAGAGCACAGAGCACATTAAATGGGACAGGGCTAGTTACATGGGACAGGGCACAGAACACAGAGCACATTACATGAGCAGCGCACATTACATGGGACAGGGCACAGAGCACATTACATGGGACAGGGCTAGTTACATGGGACAGGGCACAGAACACATTACATGACCAGGGCACATTACATGGGACAGGGCACGTTACATGGGACAGACTGTTGGGCACATTGTGGAGGACACAGCTGTTCTCAGTCCTCCAGTGGCATGCGGTTCTCTTCCAGCCCCTCCCCCTCCTGATATCCTGTCCATCCCAAATGATGTCACATACAAGCACCCGGGATAGAGAGGAGGGGCCGTCGGGGAATAGAACGCTACAGCCAATTGTATGTCAGCCACTTCCCTGCATGTGTCTACCTGTCAGCTGCCATGTAGATCGCCACGGAACCCATGGGGACCTCTCGCGGAACCCTGGTTGAGAAGCACTGCTCTAGGGTGTCTGCTTTCAGAAACTATATGTTTGGGGGGTTTGTGTAATCTTCAGGCCTTTTAAATGTGTGTAAAAATTGCAAAGACATCTCTGGCAGCGAAAGGGTTAAGACTTTGCATTCAGAAAATCTCAAATGAACATAATATAAATCTTAAAATAAAATGAGGACATGTCCACCTATTGTCTGAGCCCCTTTCAGACTTCATTCTGGTACATTGCGATAATGCACATGTGTGATCATGCGTTGTGTTAAAGCGGCCCTTTGAATGGATGGACAATACACTACAGTACAAGGAAACCTGGACCTGCAGGAAATTTCAGCCCAGTTGGGGTATTTCACCTCATCCCTGTTTCCCAAGGATGGTCATTTTCTGTGGAGGAGATGAGACTTTTCTTTACCTCGTCATTCATAAGAGAAGCGATATGAGTGGTCTTTCCTCCAGGAGCCGCACACATATCTAACACCCGTTCCCCGGGCTGAGGGCTCAAAACATGGCTGACAACAGCAGACGGTAAATTCTAGAAAGCAAAAACGAGACACTCCAGATTAAAACCTAAGAGGCTCAGTGCAGCAATAACCAGACTAAGGCAGCTCATAGATTTCTTGATTTTCTTTCCTTCCACCGTGGGTGTAAAGGAAAAAAAAAAAAAGGAAATTATCACTTGATTCCCCCATCCACAACAACACAGCGCTAAAGTGTTCTGCCAGCGGCGGCACGGGGGAGCCTTCCAGGCGGGCCAAACACAATGTTTACTGCTGGCGGCTATAGCCACTGGCAGTAATCAAAAGTAAAGAAATTCTAACAGGCTGGTTGTACCCAAGTTGATCAATGCATCGACTTGGGTACAATCAACCAGCCCATACATGGATCGAATCTCAGCCAGTCCATGCTAAACCATCTGAATTTCGTTCTATCAATGGCTGGCTTTAGTGACAGTTTTTATTTGTCTACAGGTTGGCCCAACTCCAGGATTCCTGCCTTAGTATCTACTATTATTCCTCTGCCCATACACAAATTTGTCTCATATAGGTTTTTTTAAATTAGGAGTTTCAGAAAGGATAAATATTGTATACTAGTACTTGTGCTGATTATGCAGCTATAATAGGAAGACTGGAGGAGTGTCTGGACAGCAACCTCATGTAATTTCCCACAATTTTCCAGAACTGTGTCCCATGATTCCCGGGCAACATATTTATGTCCTGGTCATGGGTGGACTGATTTCCAGCCATTTCCAAGCCTGGGTTCAAACTTGTGCATCTGCATATTTGTGCATTTTTAATGTATTTTAATGCATTTCTCTTACAGTCCCATTGAACTCAATGGGGCCAAAAATGCACTACATTGCATCAAAAAAGCACCTTTGTCCAAAAAATCAAGGGGGCCGGGTGGGAAACTGTCAGCTGAACAGCACCTGTATCCAATTAGATGCAGTTGCTGTTTGGGTATTCTGACAGCTGGAGGTATCTGTTGTCAGAATTCACTGGCTGCAGCAGAAGATTCATCCACCCGCACTGTGCAGTGTGGACGGAGGCATCTGTTGTATCTCTTTTGTTCAGCCCGCAGGCTGAACGAAAGAGATCTACGGGTGTATGACCATGTTAAAAGTTAGTTCGCCATTACAGAAAAAATGTAATAGTAAACTAACACCGGACACCCTCCCCATCCCCCCCGGTCTTCACTGCACTTACCTCCACCAGGGGGTGTCAATCTGACAGCACCCCCACAACAGCTTCCAGCAGTCCAGGGATTTGAAATTCCCACTGTTCTCCCTCTACTTTGTGAAACAATTTCAGGATGGACCAGATGGATTGTGACTGGTCAATGCTGTCACGGTGACTTGATCTGGTCTGTCAATGAAGCGCTGCACGGAGAAGAGGGAGAACAGCGGGGACTGCAAATCCCTGGACCACTGGAGCAGTTGACAGCTCAGTAGCTCTGGAGGTAAATACAACGGGGACTGGGGGTGGGGTGGGGGAGGGAGGGTGCTATGTTAGTTCACCCTTATATTTTTTTTCTGTAAAGGTGAACACTTTAACTTTGACAAAGGCAGAAAAGTGAGAGAGAAAGTGAACTTATAAGATATCTGGGTATATTCAATAAGGTAAAGGGGCAAGGAAAAGCAAAGCAATCCGTAGCAGTCTGAGTTCAGCTTATCCCATTATTCTGATCATTCGGTCCAGAGTACTGCAATCTGTGGGGGCTATTTACTAAAGCAGGAGAGTGCAAAATCTAGTGCAGCTGTGCACAGAAACCAATCAGCTTCCAGGTTTTTGTGTCAAGATTTACTCCTGGTTCACATATCTGTGGCGGTGCGGGTCGTGTTTTGCGCGGGCACGAGAACCTATTCATTTGAATGGACTTCTGTGCCCCGGGACAGGCAGGGAAGATGTCCGAGGCTCCCAGTACAGTTGCGATTTCCAGAATTAATGGCACCTGCCCGCGGGTCCCGCATTGCTCTGTGCGGGTGGTGTGGCTGCAGGTATTTTTGAGTGGGTCCTGCAGCCGCATCACCCGCACATATGTGAACCTAGCCTAAATGAACAAGCTGAAGTTAAAAGCTGATTGGCTGCCGTACACAGCTGCACTAGATGTAGTAAATCTCCGCCTTTATGGCCCCCCCTGCTTTTTGCTCTGCTTTACTGAATAAAGCTGTCCTTGTTCTCATTCTGAATTACCTGCAAGTATATATATCCTGGCAGCATATTGTCAAAGGATGGACTGGAGTATACCGCTTCTGTCATTCTGATGCCTTTCCCCCTAGAATAACAGAAAGGGATGACAAAAAGAAGAAACATCCTTAAAATGGAATTCTACCCTCATTTTGTTTCACAAACCTTTTATTGAAAAGTTTTCAAGTACAAAGAGGCTGCAGCCAAAAAACGATAACATTGTGAATTATTACAACCAAGAGTACAAGGTAAAGCAGGTACATCGTAATAAAGGCACTGATATTGTCCGACCAATGGAGTCACTGAGGAAGGAAACGCAGGAGGAACCAAAATGAATGTCCCAATCAAGGAGGAGTTTGCTCTTCAATGACAACACTGACCATCTCACTGAGTGACAATAAGGAACAGGGTATTGAACATGCAATTGAAAGGAGAAGGGGGAGAAAAGGAAAAGAGAAAAAGACAAATGGGATTCCCTGACTCCGGACAAATACCAGCACCTGGAAAGTACATTTTGGTAAGGAGGAGGATAAGCCTAGTTCATGGTACACTGTAAGCTATAAAGAAGGTAGAATCAGAGAAAGGAGAAGAGAAGAAAAGAATAAAAAAAAAAGGGGGGGGGGGGGGGAAGGAGAAAAGCTTGCCTGGGGGAAATTAAGAGGGGGGAGAAAGGAGGGTTGGTGGTCCTATCAGCAGGGCATGACAACCTCCCCATAGGTGGACCATAGATAAAGCAGGGTGCAATCGATATTTGCCTGAGCATTATAGATGATACATGGGCTCCAAACCTTAAGGTACTGGGCATGTGTGTCTTCCAGGATTGAAGTGAGCTTCTCATGCACCATAATGCCCATGAGTCTGCTTTACTTGGCCAATATTAAGAAAAGGTTGTCTCCATGCCCAAATTTGTCAGCAGCCAGGAACATAAACCCCGTCAGCCTCCGCTGGTTCTTGGATAAGGACGAGATGGGTTCATGAAGGAAGGCCTCCTAGAGATTGCAAGCTAAGGAGATAGCAAGTACGGATCAGATCATAGCATAGACCCGCATCCACAATCGGATGGCATTGGGACAAGTCCACCAGGTGAGACAGAGGGTGCCTCTTTCCCTGCAACCCCGGAAACACATCACTGACACCAAGGAAGTGAATTTAAAAATACTCTATCCTTTTTTTTTTTTTTTTTTATTCAAAGGGTAACAGTGCTTTCATTCTTCTATATCCACAACTTTTTTTTTTTTAGTTTTGGTCAGGTTGGGGAAGGATTATAACTTCTATCAGGTTTTATTACTGATGGAGGTTCTGTTTGAAAGAGTATTTCACTTTCTGTCTAGTAAAAAGTTTGTCCCTGGAACAGGAAGTGGGGGAAATCTCTTTAATGGCAACACAAACTAAAGTTTTTTTTTTTTTTTTTTAAAGTACCGTAAAAGACATTTTTGTTTTGTAATTTTGAATTTTTCAAATTGTTTTTTGATTGTGCCATCTGCTGCTCATTAAGGAGATTTATTCATAGATCAGCCTTGTATTTAATGAAAAAAAACAAAAGATGTTCTGAATGGTGGCAGAGTGAATGACCCCTTGTGGTCACTATGATTTTCTACTACTGGCAAAAAAATGCAAAGATGGCTTCCTTATAATTACAGTAGCATCCTGTATAGCACATTTATCAAACACAAGGCCTGTATTTGGCCTGCCAGGCCATTTCATGTGGCCCTTGCACCTCTGCAGCTGTGGCACTCCCTTTGTTTCTGCCTCCACCTTGTCTCAGCAGCCAGGAGCAAAAAGGAGGACTAAACTCCTCCACCAGATCCTGCGCTTTACCGTACAGTCACAGAGAAGCTCATCTCTGCCCTCCCCACCCTCAGCAGTTGGCAACAGAGAAGAATACAGAATTCCTCCTCTAGGTCCGTGCCCCTATGGGCAGCCACAGAACCCCCTCGTCTCTGCCTCCCCTGGTTTCAGCAGACTCCAGCAGCCCTCCTCTGGTCCTCCTTCAGACCCTGCACATTCAGGTTCCCAGGTCCACCCCTATCTTCCAGGTAGCAGCAGAAGGTAAGAGGGTGCATTGTGATGAAAAGGAGGGTAAGGGGAACTCTTGAATTCTGATGTAAGGGGGGGGGGGGTGCTCTGGATATCTAGTCTTACAGATACAGCTGGCGCTTTAAGGGTAACCATAATACTGATGAGGTCCACAATGAAATTGAGTTTGACACCCCTGCTGTACAGTGTTGGTGCATAGAACAACTCCACAAATGCAACTTCCTCATCACAGGATTGGTGTCCTACTTTTCCGGACTGATAATGTGACTTTAGAATCAGACCCTCCTACTCATCACTCAGGAAAGAGGAAGTGACTGGAACCAGGGTCAGATTCAGAAGACAGTGACAGGTAGGGTTGTGCAATGAAATCTATTAAACATTTGACTGAATGCCTTGAGAACATACATATCCAGTTCATGTATGACATCTGCATAGGTTTTACTTACTTTACAGGGCTGTTTGTACAGAAGATGTCTGAGCGGCTCAGTTCCGCTTTTCCATTGCCAATAAAAACTTTGGCTCCATCGAATTCCACCGCCCCCCTTCTACATTTCCCTCTGATGTCAGAGAACACGGACACCTCATCACCAGCCTTCATCCCTGCAGGAAGAAGGAAAAATAATAAATAACCATAACTATGACCCTCTCCTAAAATTTTATTCCTTGCTACAATATGAAGTAAATACACAGAGAAACTCAAAAATGCCAGACTAACCATAGTGTCACTATACTGGATGGAAGTATGGTAAAAAAAAAACAGTGTCGTCTAATGCAACCAGCAACTTTCTCAGCTGCACTAGAAAAATGACAAGTGGACACACTGGTACCCGATGTTATTTCACCAGTGAAAGTGTAACTCAAGGATTTACCTTATTATAGAGGATGTATATAGCGTCAACAGTTTGTGCAGCATTTTACAGAATAAAGGAGACAGTATATAGCCCTGGCCCAAAGTTTTGAGAATGACAATTTTCTTTTTTGATTTTCACAAAGTCTGCTCCTTCAGTGTTTTTAGATCTTTTTGTCAGATGTTACTATGGTATACTGAAGTATAATTACAAGTATTATATAAGTGTCAAAGGCTTTTATTGACAATGAAATTACATTTATGCAGAGTCAATATTTGCAGTGTTGACCCTTCTTTTTCAAGACCTCTGAAATTCGCCCCAGCATGCTGTCAATCAACTTTTGGGCCACATCCTGGCTGATGGCAGCCCATTCTTGCATAATCAATGTTCACCCGCCTCTTGAGCATTGACCACAAGTTCTCATTGCGATTAAGGTCTGGGGAGCTTCCTGGTCATGGACCCAAAATTTCGATGTTTTGTTTCCCAAGCCACTTAGTTATCACTTTTGACTTACGGCAAGGTGCTCCATCATGCTGGAAAAGGCATTGTTCGCCACCAAACTGTTCTTGGATGGTTGGGAGAAGTTCCTCTCAGAGGATGTTTTTGTACCATTCTTTATTCATGGTTGTGTTCTTAGGCAAAATTGCAAGAGAGAGCCCACTGCCTTGGCTGAGAAGCAACTCCACACATGAATGGTCTTAGGATGTTTTACTGTTGGCATGACATAGGACTGGTGGTAGAGCTTACCTTTTCTTCTCCGTATGTCCCAAACAATCAGAAAGGGGCTTCATCAGAGCAAATTACTTTACCCCAGTCCTCAGCAGTGCATTTCCTGTATCCTGTACCTTTTGCAGAATATCAGTCTGTCTCTGAGGTTTTTCCTGAAGTGGCTACTTTGTTGCCTTTTTGACACCAGGCCATCCTCCAAAAGTCTACGCCTTACTGTGCAAGCAAATGCACTCGCACCTGCCTGCTGCCATTCCTGAGAAAGCTCTGCACTGGTAGCGCCCCAACCCCGCAACTGAATCAACTTTAGGAGAACCCGTTGAACCTCTTTTCTTGAAGTTCTTGATGATCCGATAAATGGTTGATTTAGGTGCAATCTTAGTAGTAGCAATATCCTTGCCTGTGAATCCCTTTTTTTGCAAAGCAATGATGACTACACGCGATTCCTTGCATGGAAATTAATATTTGTGTCATTCTCAAAACTTTTGGAAAGGGCTATAGTTACAATACTGTTCAAGACAACAGGGTTAGAGAGACCCTAACACAATTTAAACACAAATATGTGTTCAAAAATGAGCTATTTCCTCTGGGAAGTACCACATAGCACCATTCTTACATTTGGAAGCAGACAGAATCCCAGCAGAGTACACATGGGCTCCTCGGAGGACAGCATTTCCACACTGGGCTCCAACGATGACTTGTACTGAATGCTGCTTCTGTATCCTCCTAAATTAAGAATCCAAAATGTAAACCTAAGCCATTCAAACAAATAAAAAAAAAGTCACTGTACCTTACTCCCAACACTGAAAACACAGCATGTCTACATGGCTGCCATCCTGTACATACATGTATAAAATAAAGTGCATGTCTAGCCAAACTATTTTAGTTTTGGTTAGAGCAGGGAGGGGTAAAAACACTTTAGGGGCAATTTTTTGAGAGATTTTTCTTTCTTTCCTGACTCAGCAATGCAACAAGAAATGAAAAGAAATCTCCTGAAAGTGAGGAAATTCCTAATTAGATGTCACTATTGAATGATTTACTGTACTTTCAGCTCTAGATTTAGTGACAAATGCTTTTTTTTTTTTTTTCTATCACAATGTATTTCGGTGACAATGGTCAGCTGGGCAAATAGAGAGGGTAAATCTAACCAGCTAAGGCAAAGAGCAAAAAAAAAAATGACAGAGGGTCTAACCCACTCTATTCAAAACTAAAAGAAAACGTTTTTGCTTTTCCCAGGACAGGGGATTCGGAGCCACTCTGTGCAATTCAACTGCACAGAGCAGGTAAGTATAAAACTGTTTGTTTTGGTTTTTTTTTATTGCATTTACAATCACTTTAAGGATTGGATTGTATGTAGGTGCTGTTGGGCTGACAATTTTCCAATTGAACTGACTTTTGTCAAACTGGGTGGTGCCGATTAAGGCCATCCACTGCTGAATTTCAGTTGAACTGGCAGGAATCAGGTGAAATTTGAGTAGTGTGTGGCTAGCTTTACATGTAGCCATTCCCTGCAAGATAACATCTCCTAGGCCGCGCAGGGGTAGGCAACCTGCGGCTCTCCAGCTGTTGTGGAACTACATTTCCCATGACGCATTGCAACATTACAAAACTGACAGTTACAGATATGACTTGCAGAGGCATGATGGAACTTGTAGTCCTGCAACAGCTGGAGAGCTGCAGGTTGCCTACCCCTATCCTAGGGCCTTGGTTCACACGTATGCGTTTTTAGTTTTTCGCAGAAAACACACTACAGTCCACTTAACATGGATTTGTAGTATGTACTCATGTGTTTTTTTATCACTGACAACATTGTCACTGTCATTTTTGGTGTTGGGTGGCTGTTTCTGCAAAATTAGCATTTGCTACTTTGCATCTACTTTTCTATCTGTATATTTTTAATTGCATATTGTTTCAGTAAACTTTCAATATTTTAGTCACACTACTTTGATCCAATGTGGTACCTCTTTTCCCAAGTTCTTTCCCTGGTTTGTTTGCATTACCACAAACAGACCAAGATTGGGTTGCCTGCATTAATTTCATGCTACCATATAATTATTATTTTATTATTATACAGTATTTATAAAGCGCCAATAGTTCGCTCAGCGCCATATAAAAAAGTTATTTATATTCCCAGAGGGCGCCCGGCTAAATATCATATAATTTGGGACAGATGGTTAGATCAAGCATCTACTTGCGTAGATGATGAACATGTAGATACGTGGGTGTTTATTTCCTGCGTACACTGCATTACCTGCTGGCTATATTAGATTTACGGTATTACGAGACCTGTGCTATGTATCATTTGGTACCATTGCTAACCACTTGACTGTATTGCTGGAGTACGATACTCCCTGTTTCTGTATGGAAACCATCCTCTCTTTTGACTGTATTGCTGGAGTACGATACTCCGTTTCTGTATGGAAACCATCCTCTCTTTAGACTATAGTGCTCCGTCCTCTCTTTTGTAACAATTTGTAAAGCTACTTATTGTATGATTTCTTTTTTATGTTTCACTCTCAATAAAGAGTTGTACTTTTTTTTTTTATCAAATAAAAAGTTCTGCTTGGCTGCATTTTTTGAACATGTTTAAAAAGAAATGCAAAAACGAACCTCCACATTGAAATGAATGGAAAAGCAGCAAAAATGCGTTTGCATTTTTGGAGCCTTTTTTTCAGTCATGTGTCCATTTTGCATAGGTGCAGGCAACCAGAAAACATAGTGGAAACACAACAAAAATGCACGTGTTCTTTCTGTACCTGCGTGTTTCCTCTGAGTACTCCAGTTTCCTCCCACACTCCAAAAACATGCTGGTAGGTTAACTGGCTCCTATCTAAATTGGCCCTAGTATGTGTATGTATGAATGTGAGTTAGGGACCTTAGATTGTACACCCTTGAGGGTTAGGGACTGATAAGAATGTACAATATATATGTAAAAGCGCTGCGTAAATTGACGGTGCTATACAGTACCTGTAATAAGATAAAGTAAATAAATGTGTTTTTACAGTGTTCTTGCAATGGTGCAGTGTGAAAGTAGCCATAGGCTACAGAGTATTTATTATTTATTTATTTCGGGTACTTATATAGCGCCATCAATTTATGCAGCGCTTTACATATATATTGTACATTCACATCAGTCCCTAACCCTCAAGGGGTGTACAATCTAAGGTCCCTAACTCACATTCATACATACACATACTAGGGACAATTTAGACAGGATCCAATTCACCTACCAGCATGTCTTTGGAGTGTGGAGGAAACCGGAGCACCCGGAGGAAACCCATGCAGGCACAGGGAAAACATGCAAACTCCAGGCAGGTAGTGCCGTGGTTGGGATTCGAACCAGCGACCCTAGTACTGCCAGGTGGAAGTGCTAACCATTTAGCCAGTGTGTAGAGGACAGAATAGGTAAAGCCTTCTAGAACAACTGTGTGGGGGTAGCCTTCAAGGGGGTGAGGTGACCAGTCACCGGACCCTAGTCAGTCTGCTGAGGCTACTGGTCACAGTAACAGGAAGTGCCTTGCTGGTGTCAATTTCCAGCCCTGTTTATTAGTTCTGATTACAAAGATCTACAATGCATACAGCAGAAACAGACACCAAATTGAATTAAATATGTGGCTATACTGACACCCATAGATTTATATACCTGAAGTTCAGCTTTAGGTACAATTAACACTTTTATATTTTTTCCTATCATATAGTAAATCCTTACTTTTTACAAGTGATGTACCAACCTTGGTCCAATAACTGGAATCAATAGGAGGTCCTTGAGGTTGGGATGCTGATGAATTGGGATAACATCATCTGGAAATTGCTGTAAAGTAACATCATAGTGCCATTTAATAAAATACAACTTCACCCAAGACTTTCTTTTTGTTTTGCATAGAGTGAGAAAGAGACAGAAAGATTTCCCTCAAGCTTTTGATTGCTGTCTGCATAATTACTGGGTGATGCCCTTTACTTTCTGTGTCCTCACCAAGTGAAAGGAAATAAAACAGTGGTGGTTTAACTGGAGCAATAATAAATAAAGAAAAATGTTAGGTTCACCTTTTCAGAAAAAATGAAAAGATGAATTAATACACTACACAAATAAGAAAAAAAAAAACCAGTGTGATGTGCTAAAACGTGGATCACTACACTCCTTGCCAGAGCTCCCACTGACTGCTGCCCTGCATTTCTATCATGCAGGAGAGTGTTAAGCATGCCTAATGGGGTAGGGAAATGTATGGCCACATTTTATTAGACTACTGAAAAAAAAATGCTTACTGGTGTTAGTTCAGATCCATGCACCCGTTCCTGTCCGTGTCAAAATTTGACAAGCAATTGTGTCCGTGCAACCGCTGTGCATGAATCCACTTGTATGAACTGCACATGCATCTTCCAGCGGCCGTGCATAACCTCACATTTATCAACATTAAACCTCATTTGCACATAGTTGCCCAATTACACAGAGCATTGAGGTCAGCTTGTAAATTGGAGACATCCTGTAAGGACGTTATTCCACTGCACAGCTTGGAGTCATCTGTAAAGCACTGAAATGGGATTTATAATCCCAGACCTTATATACTGTAGTTTATAAATATATTAAAAAGCAAGGGTCCCAACACTGACAACCCTAGACCATTCAGAGTATGAATCATTAACCACTACTCTCTGAATACGAACTTTTAGCCAGTTTTCTATCCATTTACATACAGATTTTTCCAAGCCTGTAGACTTTACCTTACACATTAGCCGTGTGTGGGGAACTGTGTTAAACGCTTTTGCAAAATCCAAGTATACCACGTTCACCGCCACCCCTCTGTCCAAGATTTTGCTCACCTCCTCATAAAAAGAAATCAGATTTGTTTGACAACTTCTGTCTTTCATGAATCCATGCTGTCTGTTGCTTAAAATATTTTTTTCCAGCAAGAACTTATCTGTGTGGTCTTCTATTAAACTCTCCAGTATCTTCCCAACTATAGAAGTTAAACTATCAGGTCTATAATTACTTGGTAAAGATTTTGACCCCTTTTTAAATATTGGCACCACATTGGCCTTATGCCAATCCAGTGGTACTATGGCAGTCATTAAAGAGTCCCTAAAAATTAGAAACAATGGCTTTGAAATGACAGAGCTCAATTCTTTAAGGACCCGTGGGTGCATGCCATCTGGTCCAGGTGCTTTATTCACCTTTATTCTGTCTAAATATATTTGGATCATATCAGTTGTGAGCCAATGTGGATCATCTGGAGCTGTGTCAATACCATGCCCATTATGGACAAGAGCTCCCCCATGCTCCTTTGTATACACAGAGCTGAAGAAGGTATTTAATAAATTTGACTTCTCTTTGTCCCTAGTCACCCACTCTAGATTATTTTTTAAAGAGCATACATGCACGGACCGGACCTTTTTACTATTGAAATATTTGAAGAATTTTTTGGGGTTTCCTCTATTTCCTACTATTTTGCAATCTGTCGATTTTGTGGCCTTTATTTCCTTTTTTGCTGTTATATTATTTGTAATGTTTAAACGATGATAGCATTCCTTCATTTTTATATTGAATAAAAGCTCTTTTCTTATTATCTATAGCTTTTTTTAACTTTGACCGTAAGCCACATAGGTTTTATTTTTAGCCTTTTAAACTTGTTGCCCATGGGAATATATTTTGCAGTGTGTTCACCTACATGTTTTTTTGAAGAACTCCCATTTGTGTTGTGTTCATCGATGCCAATATTCCCTCCCAGTCTAAGTCTTGGAGAGCAGCTCTCAGCCTTGGAAAATTAGCTCTTAAAATTTTGCGTTTTTATTTTTCCAGTATGTGCTTACTGTTTACAGCTAACAATAAATTAAATTAAATCATGTTATGGTCACTTTTATTACAGAAGTATAAAAAACAACATGATATTTGTAATCGGGGTACATCTCACCCTGTACTGCGACGCAGCGCACCACATTGCAATACAGTTCCAAGCATACGATAAATACATTCAGAAATAAATACATTCGCTCAGCGGTATGATGCCTGACGTGATGTGCTAAAGGATGAATCCCCAGACCGACACGTCATGCATAACGCCGCTTACCCCGAAACCATAGCATCCTAATACACAGTACTTTTCCTAATATCACTAAGTCATGCAAAAACAAAAACCGAATATTACAATCTACAATATGCATCGGGTGTGTGGGGGGGGGGGGGGGGGGAAAAAAAGGGGGGAAAACACAGGCCCGAAGCCAGAAACTTCACATACTCCCTCATCCAACTAGAGAATGCCTTGTATATAGTGAAAAGATTACACATTTATTTTTGAATAGACAAGGTGGAGACAAGGTCCACTCTCAGAGCCTTACTCCAGTTAGAACTGTAAGTCTCAGTGCCAGGAAGCAAATTTAAAATTAAATGTTTTTTTCTCCTGGAATTCAGCTTTAAAAAAGAACTCCTAGCAAGCCGTTACATACACAGATAAAATACATAATGGAAGCGGTTTTCCTGCCAAAGGATTTCTATTTCTATCAATCCAGCTCTGAGATTTATACTTTCTGCAGTTAAGAAACACTTACAGGTCTTGTCTCTCCCCAAACATGACTAGACAGTGAAAGGAGAAGCAGCACAGTAACGAGCTCATCTCTCTTGATACTTTGCTCTCCTCATATCAGTCACTTGATAACACATGAACTCTGTAGCAAAACTGCTAGGCTCTTTGGGTTGTTTTGTTCCTCTCTCACTCTACGCTTTGCTGTCCAGGTGGTTGCAAAAGGCTGATACCAATTCAAATTCAAATACTTACACTGCATGCATTTAAAAAATAAATGTAATGGTGTATTTTTGAAAACAGAGATGCAGTAAATGGTTGTAAAGGCTTATTTTTCCCCTAAAATAATAAACATGCTATACTTACTTGCTCTGTACAATAGTATTGCACAGAGGCCCCAAACCTCCTTTTCTGGGGTCCCCCACTGGCGCTCTCGGCTCCTCCTCTTCTGCATGTACCCCCATAGCAAGCTGTGTGCTATGGGGGCACACATGCAGGTGCACTCCCAAGCCCTGCAGTGTGCATCCACAGACACACACAATTTAACTCAGGCAGCCCCCCATTTCACTTGCTTCTCACAGGATTTGATTGACAGCAGCAGGAAACACTGGCTCCAGCTGCTACCACTGTGTCCTGTGAGAAGAACGGGCACAGCAATGGATCAAGATAGGTCTCAGGTAAGTATATAGGGGGGGGGGGGACGACGACATACAACTACTGGGACATTTTTTACCTTAAGGCAGGGAATGCATTTAGGTAAAACATGTCTTGCTTTTAGAACCACTTTAATTTGTGTCTTTTATATCTGCCAGGAGTTCAGCTTTAAAGCAAAGTGGGAAAACTAGAATCTCTAACCTTTTTTATTTCTTCAGCCAGACGTTGCTTGGCATCTTCCACAGACGTCACCAAGGTGTTCACCCTAATGGTGGTAAAAGATGGCGGGTGCGACAGACAACTCTGCAGACGCTCAAATTTTCTTTCCACTTCAACCATGCCCAAATTAGCAACAAGCTGGAGGATATAAAATGGTTAAAAAATGTAATACAGGCATGTCCCAAAGCACTCCATAGGGCAGGGATCTCCAATCTTACAACACTTTATCCCCCCCTTCCTTATATCAGGGTTCCCATCAAAGTTCCCTTTACATCAGAGTCCCTCCTAAATCAGATTCCTCTTCAGAGTCCCTCTTACATTAGGGTTCCCATTAGAGCCTCCTTTAAATCAGGGTCCCCTTCGGCATCCCTCTTACATCAGAATTTGCCTTACATCTTGGTCCACATCAGTGTCCCCTTTAAATCAGATTCCCCTTCAGAATCCCTCTTACATTCAGCTCCACATCAGAGTTCCCCCTTAGAGCAGGGTCCCTATCAGAGTCCTCCTTACCTTAGGGTCCAAATCACAGCTCTCCCTTACATCAGGGTCCCCATTAGAGCCCTTCCCCCCTTAAATCAGGGTCCCCATCAGAGTCCCTCTTACATCAGATTCTCCCTTACATCTTGGCCACATCAAAGTCCCATCTTACATGAGGGTCCCCATCAGAGTTCTTATTAGCCCCTGCTGATCTGAATCCTTAATCTGTGCACACTAAGGATATGTCACTGACCCTAGCTGTGGGCTGGATAAAATCTTGTAGTGGGCTAGATATGGCTCCTGAACCGTAGTTTGGAGACCCCCTACTCTGGGTAACAATGGGACCATGATGTGTTGGGCTCATTCAATTAAATGCATCTGTTAAAGATATTTTGAAGCTCATAAGAACATTTATCAGTGTAAGAGCACCACCATGGTCCTAATAGTAGTGCAATGCAGAGGGGGCAGCTTTTCATGAGGTGCACAGGCTGCAGGGGATGTATAAGAGAAGTATGGCAAAAGCTTTTTTGGTCATACTTCTCTTGTGGGTCATGGGAGTGCACTTACTTGTCAGAATCAGCCAAGAGAAGGCTACAGCCCACTGTCGGCTAATATCACAGAACCACTCCAGACTCTGGAGGGATCCCAACAATAATGTCAGGATCCACCCAGATGCCTGAGTGGCAGCTGGCTCAACCTCTCAGCATACTGCTGAGAGCCTGAGAATGCCGCACTCGACCCCTCCCCAGCCCGATTCTCTAGTGAGCACATAAGGGGCGGAGCAGATAGCATTGACTGACAGTCACTACTGTCTAATCGGAGCAGACACAACAGCTACGCGATCAGAGATCATATGATCGCTCAGTTCTTGGGCTTAGAGCCAGCAGGGGGGCAGTTACAACATCAGACCGATGCTGCTGCAGCTAGATAAAAATGTATGTTTGATTTTTTTAATATTCCCACACTTCTCCTTTAAAGTGTAAGTTTACCTTTTCACAAAAAATAAAAAAAATGAACTAAGGCTGGCCATATATTATACAATTTTCTGTACAATTTCCTTTAGATTTACCTTCAACTATGTAGTGCAAGGGCCTGCCTAATTGGATACATTTGAAAGTATTGTGCAGGTTTGATCTCATATTATACGTTTTTTGGTAAATCTAAAGGAAAATTGTATATGAAAATTGAAAGATGTATGGCCAGCCCAACACCATACCCCCCTACTTCAGGGGTCCGGGATTTAAAAGTTTAAAAATTGTAATCTCCTTCTTCTTTCCTTAGGTTTGCTAGGACAAATTTGAATCACTCTGATCTGTCTAAGAAGAGGGACCACAGCTTTCAAGTCCCTGGAGCCCTGCACTGACTTTTATGGTAGGTCATATTTCTACTTTAATACATATAAAACAGAAAGCAGCGCTGGAATCAATAAATCATCAAAACAAAGCAATTCATATGTAAAAAATGTAAACTCCTATGTATAACAAAATTAAATCATGAAACATATTTGATGTCACCGAACTGTCCAAAAAGATCCCTTTCAATTGGAAGTCCTCGTTCCCAAAGAAAAATCAATCCACAAGTGTGAGTGACAATGAAAACATCTACCAGAAGAAGCGGTAAAGTGGTAGAAGGTTTCATTGTCACTCACATTGATTTTGATTTTCCTTTGGGTAGGTGGACTTCCAATTGAAAGGCATCTTTATGGGCAGTTCTCATATGGACACTTTTGTGACATCAAATATTTAAGTTTCATGATTTCATTTTGTTATACATAGTTTACATTTTTCACATATGAATTGCTTTGTGTTGATCACTTATTGATTCCTGTGCTGCTTTATGTTTTATATTTTATTTAACTGATATCACAGTTTATAACGGCTGCTTGTTCCTGCACATTGCTGTCTTAGCGCGGATCTAATCATTGGTTATCACTTTAATACATAACAGATCATTCACCTCCTTATTGTGATAAACATTGTGCAGATGATCATGTACTTCTCTTTTAAGAAGAATCTTCGGGAAAACTGACATTTCATGCGTGATGTATTGTCACATTTCGTACTGCAGCTCAACTAATCTAAAATAAAAACAAGAACAAACAGTGAAAGCATTTTTTTTTTTTATAAATGTGAGTTTATATATATATATATATATATATATATATATATATATATATATATATATATATATATATATATTGTATGTAGAAACACTCACACACACACACACACACTGACAGCTGAAATATCCAATCACAGAGGAGTTTGTGTATTTTCAAGAGACTAGGCGGAATTAAACCTGAAGGCAAATATTTATTATATTGCAGCTTACCAATTCTTATATGTGATGGCTGCATTAGTTTCCTTTTTTCAGGCTTTCATTCCTTTATTTTCACCCGGTGATCTGACCAGTAAGTCTGTTATTTTTCAACCGAATAAGTTGTCCTGCAAATGTAGCAGTTAGACAGTTGAGACAAACCATTTACCACTGATAGGGATGCTTACAAAGATCAGCTGTTCTTTATGTAAACCTTTTATCCCAAAAGGGACAAAACTGCTGCTTTAACTGCTTAAAATGTGTTATCTGGAGTTTGGCTCCAATTTGTTAGTGTTTTTAAATCTGCTAGTATATCTAACACTAGCCTCCCCCCCCAGACTGACAATGCTGCTGTCAAAAGGTTTCTCTGTTGCTCCTTCATCCAGAATGAGGGCACATTCATACAGGAGGCATTTTACTGGCCATATCAGTGGGTGAAAGCAGACGGTAAAAAGTCTTTAAAAAGAAAACTAATGCAGCCACCACATCGAACAATTGAAAAGCGGCAATATATTTAATTTTTTTGTTTTAATATAGCTTGAAGCAATTAAATAATTTGTTTTAGGCTCCCCAAACAAAAAAAATAAAAACCACAGTGGTGATTAAATACCACCAAAAGAAAGTTCTGTCTAAAAAAAGATAAAATTTTTGTTTTGGTACAGTGTTGCATGACCGCGCAATTGTCATTCAAAGTGCGACAGTGCTGAAAATTGTCCTGGGAAGGAAGGGGGTAAAAGTGTCCAGTAGGCAAGTGGTTAAGGACAAAGGAATCTAGGAGCCAGAAAGTCATGATCCTTCATGGACAAATAGTTAGTGTTACTAAACCCCAGACCCTGCATTCACTCTATCTGGTCTCCCACACTACATGGAAATTCAATTATTTTAGTAAATATAAACTGCTAAATACCTTTTCTCATCAGCAGTTAGAGCAGTCTTGTGACTTCTATCAGCGTCCAACTGGTTAAAGCTTGTAGGCGTTTTCTTTCTGCTCTAAGAGGATGTGAAACATCTGACCCTCTGTCTTGACTGGCCCTGTGCTGATCACATGCACCCTCCCTAGGGGGGAAAAAAAAAAAAACAAACTCTATAGCAATACACACCAAACTGAGCATGCACATGTGACCACAGGTTCAGTCTGTATCAGGTGGTCATTTCAACAAGAGGAAGGTTAGAGAAGAAAGCATCAAACATCCTTTTTACACAATGCAGAGGATTAACCCCTTAGGTTCCACAGTGAGTATAACAAGCATGCTTTACTGCATATACAGACTGATTTTACTGTTGTGGGTTTAGTAACACTTTAATGGCAGCCCTGCATAGCTGCTACAGAAGAGCACATTGTGCCTGTGGGTCGGGTATGCACGTTCCTGACCAGCAAACGTGAATCTTGCCTGCTTTTCAGCGCGGTGGATTCTGATACAAGAGATGGTCAATATTTACATTTTAAATGGTGCTCTCCAAGAATGAATAAAAAAAATCCAATAGGAATAAAAACTATTCATTAGCATGTAATAAGAGCGGAATAATGGGACAGGACTTATTCTATGCATGCTGTGTATGGAAATCAGGAACATTCCCAGCAACCAAAGCAGACACTGTCCCCGGAAATGAGGGGTAATAACCATCCACCACCAGAAGTCAGACATACACCTCCATGACATCTCTGGAAAAAAATCTATGGACAGCAATGAACGATCCACCGCTAATACCAGCAAATCCTACCTCGTTCTAGCACATGTATCCGGTCTCTGTCCACACCAATAAAGATTTATTCAATAAAAAAAGTGTCTGCAGCAATGTGTATACAGATCTAGAGGTGGCCATTTTGTTGTAGACCAACTTCCAGCTGCTACTGCCGAGTCCCGGATCCGGGACATGGAGACATACTAGAGATAAATTACTGACTCTAGCAACTTGCAGACGAGACCTTTTCTGCCAATTTTTTTTTACATGTAACGATCAGTATTTCTTACTAATAAATTCCTTAGTAGCCCCAAGCATTAGATAGATATGATATTTTTTTTTTTTAAAGCAGAGGTCCTAGCTAATAAATTGGTGGGTGCTGCAATTTTTTATGTCACAAATGTAATTTTTTGGGAAAAAAAATACACTTTTTGAATTTTAATGCAAAAACACACATTACTTGACCATTTTTTGTAAGATATAAAAGATTATGTTACGCAGAGTAAATGGATACCAAACATGTCATGCTTTAAAATTACGCCCGCCCATGCAATGTCAATCAGCGACGTAAATTGTACAATCCATAGGTGACACTTTAAAAGCCTTTACAGGTTACCACATTAGATTTCCACTGGAGGTCTGGTGTTGAAATTACTGCCCACAATCTGGCTTTCGCAGTGATACCTCACATGTGTGGGACGATTGCTGTCTGCGTGCGTGTGGGACCAATGCATACGTTTGCCATTGCGTGCCAACTTGGGGGGAGGGGGTGCCTAAAATGTTTTCTTAATTGTTTCTAATATTATTTTGACACTGTCGCTTTACATTTTTTAGCACTTTTATTGCTGTCACATACACGCAAATGTAATTGTAAATGCACATGTCAGAGGACACCTACGCACAAAATGTTGATTGCAGTACACGTGTTACATATCACCACGCACACCAAAGTGAGATTAATATATATAGACCCATTATTCATGGTCAAAGCAGAGCTCCACCCAAAAGGGGAAGCTCCTACGGTTAAAGCAGAGCTCCACCCAAAAGGGGAAGCTCCTACGGTTAAAGCAGAGCTCCACCCAAAAGGGGAAGCTCCTGTTTAAGGTCTCGTCTCCTGCTCCCCGTTAACATAGTTGCCAATTGTTACAGATTGCCCGGGACGGTCTTGGATGTTAAAATCTGTCACGGCTGGTCTTCATCCCGAAAATAGGAAATATTCCCGGATTGTTACAGTGCCCCCGTCTCGGGTGGACGGCGCCACAAATCTTGTTCATTCTGAACTGAGAGACATGCAGACAGATCACTACTCCTCCCCTCTTCCTCCTCCCCAAGCGCTCTGATTGAGGACTCCCTGTGAGGCTTGACAGCGGGAGGGGGTGTGGCCAGCCTCACAGATAATCGCTCCCGGGCCACTCCTTTTACCTAAGGCAGCATGAGCAATGAAGGTAAGTGCTGTGGTGGTGGGACATATGTAGTGTATGTAGCATGTGTGTATGTAGCATGTGTGAATGTAGTAAGTGTGTATGCAGGGTTGACAACTGTTTGTATGTTTAGGGACAGTATGTAAATTTCCTGCCATTTCTGGCAGTGGCCATCTTGAGTAAGGGCAGATTGTTCATGTAGCAGTTACTTCCTGGAATCCATCTATCCTTAGCTCAGGCATTGGTGGAGCTGAGAACCCTCCCTACCCACCTGAAGACTCCCGGAATGTGTGACATCATTTGCTTAGGCATGTGAATCAGGAAGTACATGAAGGAATGCAAAAAAAGAGGTTAAAACAAGTAAATATAATTTACTTTTCTATCTATTTACTATTTTATCAGTGATCACATTAATAGGTGTAAGCAAGATGTCACTTTCATTGCTTACTATGTGTGAAATCTGTGAATGATCACAGAGGTCACATGGTACAAGGCTATTCACAACAGCCTTGTATCATGTGACAAGGTGCGACCAATCAGAGCTCCCAGTATTTCTCAATGGCTGCAAGAATGCAGCCAGAAAGAAGGAGAAATCATTGCTTTTCCAGCCTTTATGGGTGTAAACAAAAGAAAAACAAAATCTTCATCACCCCCCACAAGTAGTACAGTGTCACTATGGTGACACTGTACTGCTAGGGTGACAGTATATAAAAAAAAAAAACCAAATAATAATATTAAAAAAAATAAAATAAAAATGGCAAAAATTATAATTTTGGGTTATAAACTAATTTGGGGTTTTTTTTTTTTTACTAAAAAGATAACTGAATACAATTTTGCCAAAATGTATGACGAAAGATTATTTATTTGCAAAATTTTTATAAGAAAAACACTTTTCAAAATTTTTGGACATTTTTGTTTATATAGCCAAAAAAAAAAATAAAAATTCCAGTGCTGAATAAATACCACCAAAATAAAGTTTTATCTGTCTCTAAAAAATTCATATGGGTATAGTGTTGCATGACCGTGCAATTGTCAAAGTGTGATAGCACTGAAGGCTGAAAATTGGCCAGGACAGGAAAGGGGTGAAAGTGTCCGGACTTGAAGTGGTTAAACTATTGTGCTAATATTGTGTGACATAAAAAATTGGAACTACCACTATTTTCTTCTCTGGGGTGTCTGCTTTCAGAAAATGTATGTTTTGGGTGTTTTACACAATCTTCAGGCCTAAAAAAGATTTTTTTTAAAACACAAACGTGGCTCTGGCAGCGAAAGGGTTACAGATCCTTGAAGGTTTTATTTGTACATGGCTGCAGATAGTTGTCCTTTATGTACAGGTCCATTCATGCCAAGTCTCAACTCCTCCCCTATATAGGTCATGCAGCTACAGTAACATCCAATCAGCGAGCTACTGCAGAGAAACCAATAAGAAATCCCTTCACAATACTACAATTAGGGTTAGCCAAGCAGAAAACACCATTTAGCAGCCTTGCGCAGAACAGCCAATGGGTAATGGGATTACATCTGCCTAGCAAGCTGCAGCCAAAAGGCGGTCCAATTATATCGTTTCAGAGTAGGTGTGTGTGGAAAGTCAGGCCATGATTGGTTAAGGTG